GAGGCAGCTACTCAGCTGCTTGTGGTAGATCCCACCATGGAGTTGGTTGCCAGTCTCATCATGGGGAATAACTACCACCAGTTGCCCAGCAACTCAACCAGGCCCAGCCAAGTTGACACACAACATAACTACCACAGTGGTTCAATCCCACCAGTTGCTCTATGGAAGAAGATGGGGTGATCTACTTCCTTAATAAAGATTTATGGCATCAGAAACCCAGTGGGGGTCACTGTGAGTTGGAACTGACTCAGTGGCAGTGGGTTTGTTTTTTTTGGTTTTGGTATCGTTTACACCTAGTAAACAACCCTGAGTGTTGCAGATGGCGAACGTGCTTGGCGACTAGATGACGGTCGGAGATTCAGGTCCTCCCTGAGGTGCCTAGGGGAAGGCCAGGCAAGGTACCTGCAGAAACCACAGACCAGCCCCGGAGAGCCTGTGGGGCTCAGTTTGCTGCTGGTGCACAGACCGTTCCTCTGGAAGGAGCAGCACGAGGCTGGTCCCGTGAGGCACAGCTTCAAGATGTCCCAGATGTCCCGCTTTCCAAACTGCTGTGCCCTCCACCAATTCTACCATCAGCACCGCCTCCTCTCCCTGTTGTCCTAAGGTTCTGTGATTCGCTGCAGCGTCTCACAGAACTCACGACTATATGTACAGTGAAGTGCTTTATTAGGACATCACCAGGTACAGCGTGTGAGCGGGAGTGACTCAGAAGTAACTGGAACAGCTCAGGACCTAGTTCTGGATCGGGACATTCTCAGCCTCTGCCGCCGTGCCCTGCTTGGGGCCCTCTTGGCACGCGCTAGCACCCTCGGCACTCTGGGCCCGCTGTGGCGGCTGCTGCCGGTCTCTCGAGCAGAGACACGGCCCTGTGCGCTCGTTGCGGCTGTGTCGCCGTGGTCACCTGTCGTTGCCGTCCATGTTACAGCTCCTCCCGCTCGTCCTGCCTGTGTCTTTAAGCCTGGCGTGATGGCTGTGGTGGTCTTAAGGTTCTGTGTCAACGGGGCTGGGCCTGGTTGAGTGGCTGGGCAGCTGGATGCAGTGTTCCGCGTGATGAGCCTGGTCATCAGCTCCACGGTGGAATCTAAGGGAGCAGCTGAGTGGCTGTCTTAGGAT